TCCAAGACATTTAATTTCTACTCAGAGTTTCATGCTCCATCAAGAGCAATCATCAGGTTGCCGGATGATTGGTCCTGATGGAGCATGAAACTCTGGGTAGCAATTAAATGTCTTGGACCAAATAAACCAATTCGTTGCTGATAATATTATCTACTGCTCTAGTCATTAAGAACGAATTTAAATTTAGAAATAAAAAATCTTTCTTTGTTCTTTCTTATGACCTCAGAGGGGCCGAGAATCTTGTAAAACGGAAAGATAGTGAACTGAGGGGTTAATCCCGCAGCATATTCATCAATATATATATAGATATAGGAAGTCTGCGTTTCGGTTTTTCCTTATAACAGTGTTCGATACATATAAGTAGAGCGCAATATATGTTGAGTAGAAAAATATGATGATTACGTCTTTATCCCTACACACACACACGCACATAAATAATGAGCGTGATCAGAACTCGTGCAACAACTCTGTAACAGTAACAAAGAGTGTCACATATATACCACTTATTTCATCGTCAAAAAATGTTGACAAAATAAATAAGTATTTACAAAAGAATGCAGCCGTCAGGGAATGAGTATCAAATGCATGTAATCGTGTAGTCTGATCGTTCGTTACATGTTATTCCTGGGTTCAAACCATTTGCAACATCGAAAGCGAAAGTATAACATCCAATTCATAGTTTGCTTTTGTCTTTTGTGATTACCTAGTATTTTTAAAGTCTCTGGGATAATATGCAAGGAATATTTGTTAAATGTTACTGATAAATGGCTCAATCAATGTCTTCATAGATATCGACGAGTGCCTGCACGGAACTTCTACATGCAGCTCGAATGCAAACTGTATAAACACCCAAGGCTCTACCACTATCAGTGCACCGATGGATACCATGGTGACGGAATGAATTGCTACGATTACGATGAGTGTAGCAATGGACCCTGTCATCGGAAGGCAGTTTGCAGCAACACCGAGGGTTCTTACAACTGTAGGTGCAATTTTGGTTATTATGGTAATGGATTTTCATGCTTTGATAGAGATGAGTGTACACAGGAAAACCACCTATGTCACAAGAAAGCAAGGTGTATCAACAATGAGGGGTCATATAACTGCCTTTGTGAAAAAGGATATCACGGAAACGGCAGGCAGTATAAAGGTATCTAAAACGTTTCAATTTATTCTCCCTTTAGGAATAATTGCTTCCTTTCTGTACTAAATTATGTTAATAAGGTCCTTTGGCAAAGTGTGTGAAGTACACTTTTTTTGGTATTGTGTCCTGGAATCACGGTGTCTCCTTTCGTTTTCTAACTTTGTCTGCCGAAAGGCCCGTATTGCTGAATGGAAGTTCTCGCTTAGTTGTTACTGTTGCGACACTGTTCCAGTTGCTTTGGTAACCTTGATACAGAAGAGGACGTCTTGGAGATGGTATAAACTATACGTGCTCCACATATCAGCCCGTAGATATCATCATGATCTGTAATAAAAC